ATTCCTACATACACTTCTCTGGAAATACCATTGTCAATAATAAAATATATCTTTTAGATCATGGGAGAAGCGAGAATTTATAAAAAAAAACAATCTCAAAATTTCGTGGAATTATACCTTTAATCCTATAATTCATTGCATCCTTGATGTTGTTGACTAGAAAGTATCGTTCCAGACGATCATTAAACAAATACCAATTGTCTTTCGTGACATCAAACGTCTCGATCTTTCTGAGTGACATTTTGTATTTACTTTTTTTTTCTTTACTTCACCAATAAACACTATTACGCGAACGTTCGTTCAAAAACAAGATCTCGTCGCCACTGATAAGTATCCTGCCAAGCCAGGGAACTAGGATAATTAGGGAGCGAAAGAAACACGTACGTACTCAATAACTGCTGTATTCAGAGAGACCAAAAATGAAGTTTTTTTTGTAGCCGTCATAAGCACTTAGAACTACTCTCATACTTTACACTATTTGCCAAGTTTTGTTGAAATCGTTTAACGGAAATTTGCCAACCTTATAGATGTGGAATATTTGTTCAAATTGGAATGAGATCACTTCACTACTGAGGTACCGCCTTTCCAACAAAAAAATTATCTTCCAAATCGGTACACAAATATCGGAGTAAGTAATCGCGTAACATTGCGTAACACTGTATTTTTTTGTGTAGGTACTGTAGTCTAGGCTCTACTCTATGAGTAGAATCACTGGCTCAGTGAATATAGTTTTGTAATTAGAATGTGTTTTGAAAAATGAAATAAGAAAAGAATAGAACATCTTGATAGTTCGTGGTGTAACCCAACGCTGAAAATATGTGAAAGAATACAATAAACCAAGTTTTGAAGATTATTCCAGTTTATATTTATGAAAGTACCTCTCGCTACGCATCCTAAGCTACGCCCCAGTTTACAAATGGTGGAATTCGCCGGCTTAGGGAGGAGATGATGGACTACCGATTTGGATTGGATAGATATAGCTTACTTTTTCTTTTTTTTTTTAATTTCATAGATATATTATCCAGTGTGTGTGTATAGTTCGTGGTCACCCTCCCAGATGAACAAAAACTGTCTGCATTCAAGGAAAGTATGTTTATTTAATTATTTGGAGTCCTTCATATGGAATACCCCCATCCCATATGTATGTTAGGATATGTTGTTAGGGTTATATGTGTGTTTGTTCTTGTTTGGTTAAAGAAAGTGAGAAAAGCTGATGGAACGTGCATAGCTGCAGGATGAGGACTAAGGCAGCTGGGAGATCAATATTGATGTAACCCGGTGATCGTCCTATGGATGCTCAAGCCTGTGTCGTCGTTGTGGCAGCATGCACGTTGAAGATAGTTTAGGGAAACAGTTAGGAAGTTTTAGTAGTAATGTTTAGAAATTTTGTTAGGATCATTCAGCCAGGCTAGGGTCGCTGAAATAAAGTGTTAGGATTTAGTCAGGTTCCCTAATTGGCTAGGATAGCTGACGAGTAATTATATTTTGATTTGTTTGATTAGGATGTGGTCATGGTCTGTCCTTTTAGATAGGTTTTTGGCAGACTAAAGCCATAGCCTCCTCGGTGGTTTATTTGTTGGTAAGGTAATAACTTCCGAGCAGTGTGTGGCTAGCCTATAGTAAAGGCTGATTACTGATGTAAGTTGCCTATCATAGGTAGAGCACCAGTTAGGGATGTTCACCCTTTCAGTTGTGAGGAAGAGGGATGTAGTCTAGGCTCTACTCTATGAGTAGAATCACTGGCTGAGTGAATAATAGTTTTGTAATTAGAATGTGTTTTGAAAAATGAAATAAGAAAAGAAAGAACATCTTGATAGTTCGTGATGCAACCCGACGCTGAAAATTTGTGAAAGAATACAATAAACCAAGTTTTGAAGATTATTCCAGTTTATATTTATGAAAGTACCTCTCGCTACGCATCCTAAGCTACGCCCCAGTTTACAGTACACAAAAAAATACAGAAAATTGAGAACATCCTCCTTTTTTGAAGTCAATTAAAAATAGATAACTAAAATAATAATAATTGGTCTTAGTCGAAAGGTTGATTTCTTGTGGAAATTACCCTCTAAAATTATGAGGGGTCTCGTGAAAGTCGAAACCGAAAAAAGTCCAATGTTTCTCAATCTGGCACATGGCGAGATCATCAACATACTGAACCATCACATCGGAGTAAGTAAACATAGATATCTTAATATCTCACGGCAGTTTTCAGAAATCCGAATGCAAAGCATGAAATCATAGGTCAATGCATGAAATTATAGGTCAATGCATGAAATTATTATATTTATCATCTACGTAGAATAATTTAGATTCAGAACTACGTGAGTACTTTATTGTTGTTGTTTTGATTTAAATATAAACTATGTAGAACTGTAAATCTATTTCCTTTTTATAACAACATATACATATAACCAAAACAGAGCAGTAGCTAGTCTATATAGTTCCAAATCGATTGAATTGCAACCAGTCTGCACCAAGTGTAATTATATTATAGAAACCCGACAATAGCCGAATCACGAAGACTGCCGAGAGATATTAAGAAAATAAGACGTACTATCTTACACAGAGCTTTCAAAAACGAACATTCTCCATTGTTGGTAAAACGAGATTGCCACGGCTACAGATCAAGATGCGAGTGCTAAACGGAAAATGAAGTTGCTCTAAAAATTTGCCTAATAGCACTTACTACGGTTAGTCAGGGAAGGCACATGTTCAGCAGTGGACGTCTTTCGGCTAAAAATGTGTTTGCGGTCCCATCTAGCAACACAAGCCTTACGCCTATTGCAAGCTGAAAACCAGTACTAAATAGTAAATACGTCACCCTGCCACTAGATGGCGTTGCTCTGTAAATAATACCGGTGACAAATTGTTGACGCTATTTACTTAAGTTTTTTTTTTAATAAACTGATGCTGCGCTTCCGCATCTCGATTTCAGCACTCCTATAATAGAGCCACATTATACAAAATAAACATTGAGTTACAATTATATGGACGTCGGGTCCGCGCTAAAAAGTGTCCGCACTTGTAAGGCGCTAAAATCGTATACAGAGCGCGACACTCCGCTTTAGTCTTCATTTGTTCTACGGACAGCGCGATACTGCGATGACATAACAATTTAAATTTCGAATAGGTTGACTTGGGACATTTTTTTCGTGGTTTTTGTATTAGACCCGTCGTCCATTTATTTGTAAGTCAATGAAAATAAAATAATGCAAGAGCAGAATCATTGTGCCATAATAGACCTACTCGTAAGGACGATTTTCAAGTTAGTAATTCTGTGTTTATCATTCACTCCCAAGCTAGAGTGAAAATAAATGAGAAAACTTTTCCAGTTTTTTTTTAATTTACTGTTGTTTCAAATCTTAAGCACAGTAAGTCATTCGTCATTAAAACTTATATTTATTTACAAATACTATATAATGAACGTATCTAGTGGAGGTCTCTGCCTACCCCTGAATGGGTGACAGGCGAGATTTTTATGTATATATTTGTTTTATGTATTACAGATAAATTGTATCTCACTACCGTGCACGGGTTCCTAAAGAAGTTTAAACAAAAGTACCAGGACTTCATAATAAGAAAAGTGGTTACAGACCGATATTACAGAAAATATTACACAAAAACAGCACGTTAGAACTAGATTTCCATAGACTTTTAACTAATGGTTGCAGTGGTTGTATTTCATTATTTTAATTTACTAGCAGAAAATGAGTTTTTTTAAATACTGTTTTATTTTACTTTCAATGTAGTTTTTTCGCAAATGTATTAAAAAACGTCGTTTGATACACGTGCGGATTTGTCATTTTCACTTGTCTCGCGTCTTGACCCTCGCCTCTGGCTCGGGCCAAGAAGCGTCGACACTCGTGAATAATGACTAACTTTCCGCACTTGTATCAAAAATAACTATATTTACTCAATATACCAATAACATTCTGGTAAGCATAAATGCCATAAAACATACCGCCTCGCAGTTAATATTACTAACTAAACATCACATATTACTACATAATATCTTAAAGCTTTGTGGTGTTCTATTCTTTGGTAAACTTACAGGTACCACAGCAAGGTTGGCTTGAGGGAAAAACACTTTACTTAATTAAACAAAGCTAAAAATAAATATGGTGCTGAGTTGATTTTGTCGTCTTCTGCTGACCATGCGGTGGGATTATTAAAAAATCTTTTTTAACTTCTTAAATTTTTCAAAAAATAAAATTTAATTAATGGATTCAGGCAGTGAGCATTATAATGTCATTGGATTCAGGCGTTACTTTGCAGAAATCCATGTTAATAAAAATGGAAGTAATTTAATTTGCCACTCCGCGCACCCAGTAAACGTTACATTGTGCATAATAGCTGCGCTTGTGTTGAGTTTTTTTTTATTAAATTAAAAAACTTATTTCAAGTTCAAAAGCGGTCATTAGAAAGTTAAAAAAAATCTTAAAATGGATTCCCGCACAGTTACGCCTGAAACCAATGATATTATACTTATGCTCACTGCTTGAAACTATTAATTACTTTGTCAAGATGTACTTGACAAAGTAATTAATAGTTGTACTTGTACTTGACTGACAAGTGTCTGGACTGTTTATGTTAATCCGTACTAAGGGAGTGTTTTATACTGTTGTACCTGTATTTATACATATACCTTTTCTTGTCTTGTTACAGCCTTTTCTTTACCCTCAACTTTACAATAAATTTCTGTGAACCTGAAGTTTTCTATATTATTGCCGTGATCCTGGCCACGCCGCATAGTGCTTTACACCTATAATTATTAATTGACATTTCACGCAATCCCTATTTCTTTTTCGCGGACATGGACCTCTTGTTGGCCAGAGTGGACCCCTGGGGGTGGATATAGACCACGTAGGGCATCATCGGCATAGGTATAGAATAATATTAATGTGTTCAATAGTTGTGTGCGCCTTCTGATTTTATCGATACACTATAATGCTTGCCATCATCGCGATGAAAGGTTTTGCGAATCGGCATAAACTGACGATATGGTGCTGCTCAGTCCATCGATTAGAGCACTTATGTCTATGTTGCAAATTTGTGAGTCATACGCTGTGGCTCATGGACTCAGGTACAATGTTTCGAAGAGCGAGCTGATGGCATTTAAGGCAGGTGCTAAGTGTTACAATATTATACCTAATCTAACACTTTGCGGCGCTCCTTTAAAAATAGTTTCGAAATTTAAGTACTTGGGTCACTGGGTCACGGATGACCTGTCTGACAATAGCGACACCGAGAGGGAGCGTAGGTCGTTGGCTGTTCGTTGTAACATGTTGGCCCGCAGGTTTGCACGCTGTACGAGACAAGTAAAGATTACACTGTTTAAATCTTATTGTCAGTCCTTTTACACGTGCAGTCTGTGGGTCAACTATACGCAGAGGACATACAACGGCCTGCGCGTGCAATACAACAACGCGTTCCGGGTGTTGCTGGGGCTGCCGCGCTATTGTAGCGCCTCGGGGATGTTTGCGGAGTCGCATACAGACGGGTTTGCAGCCATTATGCGCAAGAGGTGTCCCTCGATGCTAAGCCGCTTGCGCGGCAGCCCCAACCGCATCCTGAGCGCGTTGTCTGCACGCTGGGACTCGCCGATGTTCGCACACTGGATGCGACTTCATAGCATACCATCAGTCGCCTAGTTTTATTCTGTTTCTTTTTATTTTGTTTTTTTGTATTTTTGTATTGTGTAACTAACCCTTAGAATTAAGCATTTTGTAATTTTAACTAACAATCTATGGACCCAGTTCCGAAATAAATGATTATTATTATTATTATAAAGTACTTGCCGCGACTGTTGCCCAAGGTGCGCACGACCGACGTACAGGAAAGGAATGGTAGGTCGTGTTGGGGGGTTCCACAGACCAAATAAAGGAAATTCCTTTCGTGTGTGTGCCTTAACAGACCCGCTTGTAAGGAGGATTTTCCGACGATAAAGTAAATGACAAAAATGAAAGTAAAAATTTATAAAAAAATACGTAATTTATTTACTATCTATATAAAAAACATTCTGGTGAGCAATAATACCACAAGTATACCACTTCGCAGTGGACTAAATGTTACACATTACTATTCATATCTTAAAGCTTTGTGCTGTTCTCGTATTCTGAAAACTTACAGGAACCATATCTAGAGTTACAACTTGAGAGAAAAATACCTTACTTAATTTATGTTTAAAACGATGCTAGAAAATAAGGATATTACGAAGGCGATTTTACCGTCTTCTGCGAACTATGCGGTGGGAAAATTAAAAAATCTTTAATTTTTTAATTCTCCAAAAGCAAAGTAACGTTTGCAAAATCTAAATTTACTCATGTTTAAAAAAGTCTCTATAATACCTTTTTAACGTAGAGACTGATGAGCACATTTTGTAGCTTACACCATGAACCAAAAACTCAAGTAGACTGTTAATCCCCATACTACAGATCTGTAGCTCTGAAAAAGGTCAAAATTGCGTCATATATCTAGATGGCGCTGATCAACAACAAAACAGAGAACAAAAAGCAATGAGAACGGACACTCTCCGCCCCTCCAGAGCTTTAGATACCACACCACATCCCGCACATTGACTGAACGGCTATAAGGCTGTCGGCATGTCGTTTTCGCGCTAAGACGGTTTTGATATTTGAATAGAGTTTTCATTTATTCATTACGTAACTTGTACGCTAATATATAACATCATTTTACGTTACTATTAATAATGGCTATGAATTGTGCTATATACGGCTGTTTATCAACATCTAAACGGGATAAAGAGAGGAGTTTATTTCGTTTTCCGAAAGATGAAACGAAGTAAAAAAAACTTGTCTGAGACTCATTCAGTTATTGTCTTCTTCGTATAATCAGTGCAGAGTAATACATAATACAGATTTATTATATCAATATAATGAGACGTCATAAATTCGTGAGCTAGTAGATAAGGGTTCTCGAATTTTCAGTTTGTATTGCCGATAAATGTTACGTAGTGAATATACTAATTTTCGCTGTTGCTGCTCTGATCACGTTACTTAACAATAGTACGAGAAATTGATGGGTAACCTTTGCCACTTCACGCATACATTTGCGCGTGTGCAGATAGCGCCTTGCCTGGCATTGCTGTACGTAGTAGAAGTATAGGTAACTAACTTTCGACCATTGTATGAAGTGTCCGGGGTGTGCCCTGGTAGTAATTTATATTATATAAATGGCCGTGGATATCAATCAAATGTAAGAAATTAGTTTTTTCATATATTGATCATGAGCTAAAAATATTTTCAGTACTTTGACAAATATGCGTGTCAATAGATGGCATTGTGTGTTACAAACGAATTTATAAATTAACGCTTCGTAATATGGGTAGATGTCGCTAATCTTAAACAAAATAAAATAGCCAGCACTATCCATAAAAATATGTACAATAAGCGCCATCTAGTTGATTTGTTTGTTATCACTAGAAATTAGTGTAACTGATAAATTGCAGCTTGTCAATGTAAAACAAAATAATTAGTTTCAGCTTTCTTTGCGGCACCTTTAAGGATGCCACGCAGCTTGATTTTGATTGCCTCTCCCGAGCGAAAACTGCGTCTTTTCCGAGTCGAGGCGCATAATTGCGATTCACAATTGGCCGAAACTTTTGACATTTCTAATCGGAACAATAGTTGATTTAACTCACGAATTAGAAAGATATAGTAGGAATCAGATTCATCTTTTCGCTCGGAAATCTGATTTCGAGACTACCCGATCGGTTTAATTCCGATTTAAATCAAAATCAGCCTACAGGTGTACCAATAGGTACTAAATACCCGCCACGCTGTTTAGTATCGCGATTAGCAGTCTTCTAGAATGCTTCTAGAGTTATAGGTTCATGCTCATTATACCCACTAATTTTGTCGTCTATAGAGTCCTAAAATTCCGTTTTACAAAATTCGGAATCGAAGCAGATTCGGCGTCCTAATTCAAAATGCATACAAATCCCACTGACGTGATCGGCTCGGCGGGAGATTTTTAGGTGACGAAAGGTAATATACTTAAGAAGTATGGCATTATAGTTGAAATTGCAATGGTAATGGTAATGGTTGTAGCCACAAAGACAAAGCTGCGGCATGCTTAGGGATACTGAGCCGGCCGCATTCGGAATGCCTCGGCAGCCTTTGGTATACTTCGGCAGGCTTCGGGACGTCTATATGAAGGAGGGCAAGGCCGATATCTGAAGGGATGCCAATCACGAGCAAGATGTCGCAACGGAATGCTGCGGCATGCTTAAGGGCGCCGGGGCATATTGCCGTTAACGTGTGGATGCCAAAGGATCCCCTGCCGAGCCTGCCCGTCAGTGGGCGTAACATCTCCCTAGAGAACAAGCGTCATCTATCACCTTTCCCTATGCGAATCTAGAAAATATTAGATAGAATCAATGTAACTAACTTCATTCTATTATAAAAATAATACCAAATAGGTATGTTATACTGTCATAATTATTTCTTAAATGTCTTCATTATAAATTGCTAATGTAGAATGCTTTAATAGAACCATTTTAGCACATAAAAATCGCAAGCAGTGTAAATAAAAACAACATTATTGATCTATTCATAGTAACATATTGTTAAATTGTCAGGAGGTACTCATTAAGAACTAACAGATAATGTATGCAAATTGAAATTACTGTATTGGCAACTTGTAGTGACTGTATTGCACTTTTGTAAAAACGAACACAACAACGTTAAATTTTTTTTTATGAGCTGTTTGTTTTAAGAAGAAGAAACATGGACAGCACTATTATGTTAAGTCTGAAAAATTTTATTCTGCTTAAATGTGAGAGAGTTTAAATCCAATTTCGTACAAAGGTTTTCCTAAACCAAAAATTATTAACATTATACCTAATTAAAAAACGGCATAGGTAATACACCCATAAAGTAAACAACAACAGTCTAAAGTCCGAAACATAGTGCATATGTCACAAGTCATAGTTAAAGTAGTTATGTCTACGTTCCAAGTCCCTAATCTCGACAATGTCGGTTTTGAGCCGAAGTTTGAGGATTTCTCGCCATATTGCCTCCCGGTGTTCCTTATTTGTGATGCCCATACGGAGTAGAGTGTTGTCGTTGATACGAACTAGTGCTCTGCCTGTTATATCGTGCTGTAAATAAAATGTGTAAAATTTATATAATTATGCGAACACTAAAGGATTATGAGAAGCTTGAGATGACATACCAAAATATTGGCGAGTGGACTGTATAAGTATGTATATTTCCATTATGATGGAAACACCTTATATGCAGATTAAAACACGTTTAATTTGAAATATTTAATACAAAACTGAACAAAGCAGCGGAGCGGAAGCAACTGCCAAAATTTTTCTAAACAAAAACAGTCGAAACATATGTTAAAAACCGAATGTAAATTCCTATGCCACAAGAAGCCTACGGCTCAATTTATATTGCGGCGGAACGGAATGGAGGCGAATTTTTATAACGATATTGTACATAGTATAATGAACTTTATGGTCAATCATGTAACGTACACACTAGATGCGAGTCAAATTCTCGAAGAATTCGGCATGAAGCTTTTTGGCTCGTATCTAGTTTGTACGTTACATAATATAAATTGCATCGCAAGCGCCATATAAATTGAGCCTATGGATGCCTTCAAGTTAGATGTTTATAAGAGCGAGGCAGTGGCGCGCATTATAAATAATAGGGGTTAAAGTATGAAATTGCCGATTTGTACTGAAAATCTAAATTGTTTATTTTTTAAATTTTTAACAAATTTATTTAATCAAAATAGTTGCCATTATTATCTATACATTGCTGCCATCTAATGGGAAGGTTATTAATGCCTTTGCGATAGAACTCCGACGATCTAGACTGCACAAACTGTGTGAAAGCATTTTGTACTGCCTCCTGGGAAGAAAACTTCTTGTCACGTAGATAATTGTCCAAATCACGAAAAAAATGGTAGTCCGTTGGAGCAAGGCCTGGTGAATACGGAGGATGACGAATGGTTTCTAACTGCAGTTCCTGAAGGGTCAAAATGGTTTCTCGTGCTGTGTGAGGTCTCGCGTTGTCGTGGAGCAATAATGGTGAAGATCGATTCATGAGTCGGGGCTGTTTTACTGCTAGTTTTGTCAACATGGTTCGGAGTTCGGCACAATAGACATCTGCCGTTATTGCTTGACCAGATCGGAGAAAACTATAGTGAATAACACCATGCTGAGACCACCAAACAGTTACCATTACCTTTTTATTGGTAAGTTTTGCTTTAGGACACTGTTGTGGCATTTGACCTGGGGTCAGCCATTGCATTTTTCTTTTCCGGTTATCATAAAGAATCCACTTTTCATCACATGTTACAATTCGATCCAATATTCCTTCATTTCTGTACCGGTTCAACAAGGCAACACAAGTTTCAACACGCGTTTCTTTCTGCAGATCAGTCAAATCATGAGGCACCCATTTTTCGTATTTTTTTATTTTATTGATTTGACGCAAGTGAGTCAATATTGTGGCTAAGGTAACGTTAAACCATGCCGCTAATTCCTGGGTAGTTTGACTAGGATCGGCTTCCACTATCTCTCTTAATTCATCGTTATTCACCTGTGTGGGCGGTCTTCCTCGTGGCTCGTTCTTTAAGTCGAAATTTCCATCACGAAAGCGTTTAAACCAAAATCGCACGGTGCGTTCATTAGTAGACCCTCTCCAAACGCAGCATTGATATTGCGGGCTGTTTCTGCCGCGTTAGTTCCGCGTCGGAACTCGTATTCAAAAATCACTCGAATTTTCGCAGTATCCATCTTTCTTGTCTAAATTGAATAACAAAAACAATTGAAAGTCGATATTCAAATGTTTCAAATTTAAAAAAAAAAAAACCACAGAAACCATTTGAAAAAGTTTCATTCGAAAACCTCAAACCATGAAGATTCTATGAAAATTCAAAGAACCTATTGCAATAAAACGGCAATTTCATACTTTAACCCCTAATATTTAACAGGATATCTGGATCCTCCTATAGGAGGAAAGTGCAATCACAGCACCACAGTCGTGACACGCGGCACCGCGCCACTGTTGCGCTACTACAGGGCTTCTAAACGCGCCTTAAGGGCAGCTTGATTCAAATTTCAATGCTCATGTTAGTAATTAAGATGAAAAATTTTCAAAAAGAAATTGTCGCATCTATTACGGGAACGTCTTATATGACAACTTCGCGAAGTGTCACTTGCACAAACTGGACCTAATCCAAAATATAGCATTACGTATCTTCACGTATGTGCAAGCTTTATTAAAACTGCGGCCATTCATGCAATGGAGTGTGAGCTAGCGCTACCTCCCTTAGCAGTATGAAGACACTGGTTAGCTTGCAGATATTGGTTATCCACAGCATCACTCACCGGCAAGTGAGCTTGAAAATTATGCAGAAACTTACAGCTGAATGTAGCAATATCAGAAAAAGGTATTGGGTTAATAAGTCAAGACCAATTCTAGTAGAAGTTTGCAAAAGTGTAAAAGATATTGAGATGTACAAAAACCCATAAACTAGAAATGTTTAACATGGGAATGTGGATATCCTGATTAGATATAAGAAAATGTATAAAGTATAAGATGTGTAATATGATAACACCAAAAAGATGACAATATTAGGACTTTAAGAGAAATAGTATTAAACCTGATCACAAATAACAATGGAGATTACTATAAAATCTTTACTGATGGTTCTAAAGGTACAAATGGCGTGGCAGCAGCCTTTTTTGATCCACAACAAAATGTATCTCTTAAACTAAGTATATGTCAGGAGACCTGTATAATGAGGGCAGAGTTAACTTCAATAGTAGAAGCTCTATCCTTTGCTAACTCTGTAGATACTAGTAAAGTCGTTATTCTTACAGATTCTAAAAGTGCGCTACAACATTTAGTCCGATGTGTTTTGGGAGTCCAAGGTATGCCCACAGCTTATGAAGCTTTGAGATTATTGGTTAAGTTACTGTCCAATAGTATATTTATAATACTGCAATGGATTCCATCACACATTGGACTAGAAGGAAATGAAATAGTAGATACATTAGCAAGAGAAGCTATCACGGAATCTATGGAACCATCATGTAAACCTCTTGCTGCAGAAATCATCTCATTTGTAAGAGACCTAAATAAGGATTTGTGGAGTAAGATCTATGGTGAGATTTCTGCAGTAAAAGGGATTTGGTACAACACTGTTCAGCTCCGAAAGCCCTGGTTTGTGGACGGCGCACTTTCTAGAAATGCATTGGTCTTGGCTTTAAGACTATGTACTTGCCACCTTCCCTTAAATAAGTTCTACCATCTAATAAAAAGAGCAGAATCTCCACTATGTAAATTCTGTAACAAACTTAAAGATATGCTACATTTAATGGAATTTATTTATTTAGTTTGTACAACTTACACTTACAGTACTTATAACTAAACATGTAAGTCATAATCACAAAAAAAAATGGTTGAGTCGATCTACCAGCCAAAGATAGGAAGCGGAATTTGGACCACAGAGCTTTGGGCGGTGACCGCCTCCAAATAGTAACCAGCGGATGTTAGAAATTTTGATTCAGTATTGCTGAACACGTCAATATCGTTTGTTTTGCTTAAAAATTCAATTACGACTAATGCTTCGAAGAATGGTGTCCATATTAGTGTCACGGTGCAGGTCCAATGAAAATTGAATACAGGGTATTTGCACTGACGAAGGACATAGCGTACGTGGACGTAGCGAATGTAGCCATTATGTGGCTCTGAGAAGCCAATTTCAATTAGGGGATATTTGGCAGGTTGGGGAGTTAAATGTCGTGTTGGGTGAACTGTTGACGAGGAGGGCTACTTGGTACATACTTGACAAAGAGGGCTAAAACTCATATGTGAGGTCTTGTCTCACGCTGCGAGGCGACACGATATAGTAGAATAACATAATCCACAGGTATTGACATCACAAGGCCGACATTGACACCCAAATGTTACAGGCCTTATTAAAAATAAGATTATAAAAAAAATGCATTTGTTGATTTTATGAGTAAACTCTTCAGAACAAAAGCAACAAGTCCACTGCCTCCTTTTAACAACTGAGCCCCTTCTTCACACGGGACAGAAACGTTAGTGTATCAAAAGTCAAATGTTGCATGACCTGTGGTACACTCACTCCGCCTGATAGGCAAGTTGTCTGTGACCCACCAGCCATCTTGAGCTGAATGTGTTAATTAGTTGCCTTGTGCTGCATTTTTCAACTTACCTCATGAAATCTCTCCCAATACAAAATATAATAGTCGCTGCAGTGTCGTCGCAACCACTTCTGCACATCGGCCTCTGTCCAGAGATATACAGCTTTAGGACGTGTAGTTTTAGTCTGAAAGTCGGAATGACATTGGAATTTATTTCAAGGCATCGTCTACAATTACATAATGCAAAAATCATGCTTATAGTAAAAAATATTGTGAGGAGTTGTATCGGGCTCTTGAATTCCACACCTTTTGTTTATTGGCGTTCAGGCTGGTATCTTCAACCATTTTTGGATATAAGCGTAATAGCACGAGAAGGTGGAAATTATGGATTAGAAATTAACATAAGAGAAGAATTAATTTCATCAGTACTTTTGGTTAAAAATGGAGCAAAACAAAATCTTTCACAAAAATATGGTTTTTTATTTATTCTTGCTGTCAAGAAAAGGAAAAGGCAAAAGTTTGACACCATACAGCCGAATTTTTTTGTTACTTTTTTCTTGGCTTTTCGCGGTTAGCATTTCAGCCACTTAAAAGGTTTTTGACTTTTGTCTATAAAACATGGAAACAAGTAAAAATATTATACTTCGTAAAGATCATTGTGGAAAATGACATAAAATGGAAATTCTTACGCAGGGTGGAGACAGAGAATAAAAGGAATCAGGCGGAGAAAAGGACTATGAGGTAAGACTAAGTAATTAGTATGTACGTAATATACCTTAGGAAAGTTAATAATTCCTCTCCACTTTATAAACGTCACAACCACAAACTCTGAATTCTTTGCAGTTATTAGCTAATGAAATTCTTAAGTTAATAGTTTTTAATCTGGTAGATACATTTACAATATTTTTTATATCGTCAGCAACTATACACTCAAGAGCACGTCAAGCTTGATACTTTGTACTTTGGACCGTTCTTATCGTAAGCGGCACAGAGTTGAATTTAAATCTTAAGTGTCAAGCTTGACGTGCTATTGACCCTGTACAATCAAATTATTTTCAAATGATTAAATAATCGTATGTGGATTAGTAATGTGATAACAAATTTAGTAGTATATTCTTTATAATTCTTTATAATATTTCATCTTCATTAAATTAATATAGAATTTAACTGGAAAGATATTATTGTAATACTTTGGTTTACGTTTAACGATGTAGTTACTTTGTAGGTTTGTGAAAAATTTAAATGGAAACACTTTATCTACCTGCCAGTTATCTGTCAAATAAGTTTTTTCCATCCTCTTTGCTGGAAGAATTGCTAGTTTTTTCATTTGATACGAAAGAATTCAGGAATTCGAGAAGAAACTCCTATAATTTATACAATGCAGTAGTGAATGGATCACTATGGCACAGAATTTACAAAAGAAGCCGTCGAAAGGTATCCTGAAGACATCGAGAAGTGTGGACACCCAAGATGGGACGCCTTCATCAAGCAAACGTGCTAAAGAACAGCGCTTCGATGAGATTAATATTATGGAGACATTTCACCCAGCGAATAAGGACTACGGACATATGAAGATCGATGAACCGAAGACGCCATACTCGGAACCGGTGGAAGGCGATACAGAGGCGTCAGATGAGCTGGATGCAAACGTCCTAGCAGCAAAATTGGCCGCCAGTATGAACCAGCCTCCCAAATGTATGGATATATGCGAGCATGACGACGACGAAGACGAAGAGACGCGCCAGAAGAGGCTGGAGTTCGAGAAGAAGAGGAAAATGCACTACAATGAGTTTCAGGTTTGTATATAGTACCATTATGTGTGCCTTTGTCACTGTTAAAGGTAAGTTCCCTTTGGAAAACAATAATAATACCTGTAAATCAGAATTACGAATATTGCTACTGTGTGAACGATGCCCTAAGAAGTAACATCGAACATGCCGTCAATGTTGTGGCCACCCTAAGATATGTAATATTGGAAATTTTAAAAATTATCTACTTCAACTTCAACTCTTGTGTCTATGGCTCCGTCGTTTTGCGCGACGATTTTGCCAATGTCAGGGTTGAAAGACATGTGTAGCGGTGGTGAGATAGATTGCCGGTTATTAAATAAATAATAAATAATAAATAACGCTCACACTCAACATATTAAAATACTTCGGCGGATTTTATTCACAATGATGGTTATATATATATTTTAATGACATTACAAAAATGTAATTTGAGAGCTCATGTTATTTTCTTTCTTTTAGAAACAATGTAGGAAGTTTTATTTAGCGGGAAATAAAAAATAAAATCGTTTAGTAAAACAAAATTTAGGCGTTGTTTTCGTTCAGTAACAAACTTTTGACCGGTGTCAGCGTGGAAAATTATCATGGAGGAAGGAGAAAGAAATAAAATTATACGAAAGATAATAAATATAGTCCAGCTATGCAATTATGCGAGCCTGCGTTTTCTGTCCTTTGTTCCATTATCGGTCAACTAGATATGGCAAGGAATTTCACCTTTATATTTTATAAAGAAGTGGAACTCTTTGCTGTGTTTCCTGAATAAAATATATTCTCTACACAACACAATTTTTAATAACCATTATTGTCCACATGTTCACTTATTTTAAGAAAGAAAGAAAAAAAGAAAAATGTTTATTCATTAAATTGAGTTGCTGCACACACTTAAATCTATACTTAGCACTAAACTAACAAATGCAAATCACAAGGTGTGATTTTAAGTTAGTAAGTGCACAGCACATGCACAGCCGCTGATTTTCACTCATTCCAGTTTCAGTGTCGGCTGAGTCTTGTGGAAGTGGTACATACTGTATGTAACTTAGTCACTTTCTAGATACAAACTTTTAGTCAAAGGCCACACTATTCCACTAAGCCCTACAAGCAAGGCCCTCTCTAACTCATCATACCTGACGACCCGTGGTCGGGTGGCTTTTTCACCAGTTTTCATGCTGTCACCATCTCTTGAGGTTCCGGGTTCAATACTCAGCTAATGTAACTAAACCCAGCTAATAATGTTGTCTTGACGTCTACATGTTTGTGGTACTGTCATTGTTTCAGATTTCCATAACACTTAGGGTCGTATTCTAGAACTGTATTAACGCTCAAGTCAGGATTGCACTGGAAACACAAGCACTGGAAATACGACCCTAGTGGCTGGGACTTGAGTATGATATCAAGTGCTTTAAACCATACTCAAATCCTGACTTGAGCATTGAGTAGAGTTCTAGAATATGACCCTTTATAACTAACTAACTTACTATGGGATCAGAGCAATGTATATAATGTTGTCTTATACTTAATAAGTTTTAAAATGGCTCTTTAAATGGCAAATTATTACATACCAACATATTGTAGATTAGAAGTATACATGTAAATTGTAAATGAAAATATATTATTTGGCAATGGGCAGGTATTAAGTAAGTACTTGGCATTCTTTCCAAGGTGAGGCATTACTTCACACTGGGACAGTTGATTCAGCTTTACCAAACACAAGTCCGGCCGTGTATGTAGTACTGCTGCCACTTATGGGATGGCTGTGCTAAATACCAACTGGCCACCTTGGATTCAATAGACAAGTATGCCAAGAGGCTTATAGGTGACTCGGACTTAGTAGAGGTGAAGCTGCAGAGCCTTGAACACCGCCATAAAGTTGCCTGCTTATCAGTATTCTATAGGATATATCATGGAGAGTGTGCGATGGAATTGCATATTTTGATTCCGCCTTCTTTCCATCATCGGGGGTCTAGACGTGGGCTGAGATTCGACCCCTATGTTGTGTATATTCCCAGGATTCGCACGAAGCGTTTCTCTTCCACATTTCTATGGCGAGCGACTTGAGGGTGGAATTCCCTACATGCGGTCTTATTCCCGAACACTATAACTTGGATCTTTTCAAGGCGAGAGTCATCAGCTGAGATGGAGGCAAATACGCACTTATTTTTTATAAAAAAGTACATTTCATTGCGGAGACAGCGGATGCACTATTGGTTATTTATTGTTAAAAGTACGTCCAATACCAAGTTAAATGCATGTACATCATGCAGGGACATCTTAGAGAGGGTAGACAAGTTAATTGCAGAGCATGGCAAGACTACTGTAGTACAAACAACAGTAGTAATGTTTTAACTGGTTGTTAAAGAAATTTTACAATGGTATCGTAATAACCATGGGTTAATAAAATCAAAACCATGGCTATTACTATTATATGCGTGCCGAATCGATGGTGCCGCCTGGCCATTATATAATATGTTATTGCCCTTTTCTAAGATGACCATATATTGTGTGTATGTAATTACTGCATTAATTGAGAGTATATCTAATTTACGTTACACTTTCAAAGGAACGACTTTCCTTTGGGAGTGATATTTATAAAGCAACTTAGTATCACGCGTTTTTCCGGTGTTACGACATTCACAGGTTGTTTATTGTTTGCTTTATTTGTTGCTAACAATTCGATATGTGAGCATGTAACTAAAATGAGAAGTTCACAATAACAATATGTTAAACAAATTGTAAACAGATTAGTAAAGTAACATAGGCGTTTTGCGAACAATTTTGGCTTTGTACAAAATTATTATTTTATCCATATGGGTCTTATTCTACACTGGCAGCTGATTTTTCAAGTAGATGTTGCAGCGTTGCTTTATATTTATAATTACTGCTATACAAGTAATAACTATAATACATTCATTGACTTACAAATAAATGGACGACGGGTCTAATACAAAAACCACGAAAAAAATGTCTCAAGTCAACCTATTTAAACGTAGTGACATGTCAAGGAATATGAAAAAGCTAAAACGTTGAATTTAAATTGTAATGTCATCGCAGTACTGTCTAATTTTGTTTGCTTCGCTGTCAGTCGAACAAATGAAGACTAGAGCGTGAATGACGCTCTGTATACGATTTTAACGCCCTATAAGTTCGGTCACTTTTTAGCGCGGACCCGACGCCCATATAATTGTAAGTCAATGAATAGATTTCTTATTTTTACATTGAATTGGATCTAATAATAATCTTTTAATTGTTTATTGGTGCTTAGATAAGATTTCATTCACTATTTTCCTTTTAATAGTAGTGACTCATGGGGGATTTAGTTACCATCATCAACTCGTATTATGTATTGTTATTAGTTCTACAAAATTGTAAAAGAACTACGCAAGATAGCAAACATGACGATTTGACACTAAATTTGTTAAAATCAAGGAAGTTAAAACTAAGATAATCTTATTAATACAAAGATCGAACACTCAGAAAAAGCACTCAGAAAAAATTCCTTCATTTATTTATTTATTTATTATTATATGGACAACAAAACAGATTACAATCAAATTACATTGATAAAACTTAAATATATTACAAATTTCTGTACCAGATTGCAATCCTACTTATGTCGACACATCATTGCAAAATAACAAAACAAAAAAAAAAAAGATCTACTGATCCTGATCAACTGATATATTTCTTACTTAATTTATATACTTATCTACTAAATATGAATACAAAAGCAACGTGAATAAATACCTATGATAGTGCCAAACGATTCACTACGCACTTGAATATTCTGGACCTTGAGTCAAAAACATCCAGAGACGAGTTCTTCATAGATATCTCATTGTAAAGCCGAAACATTCTCATCAGGGGACTATAAAAGGAAGTGTTATTCTTGTACGTTTGCAAGTGAAATGTTCTGTCAGGTATTCGGAGATTACGCCTTGTGCAAATATTTACTTTATTTAAAAGGTAAGAACAGTCAATTTTGCCATGAACAATCTTATGCAAGTATATGAGGTCCTGTCTCTTACGGCGAACAAGCAATGAGGTTACTTTAAATTTGACACATCTATCACTATAGCCAACGAGGCTGCGACCATAACCGCACTTATAACTAAGGATCCTGAGAGCTCTTCTCTGAACGCTTTCTATACTATTGGAGTGAACTGAGTAGCAGGGCGACCAGACAACACAAGCGTACTCCAGAATGCTACGGACAAGGCTATAATATACGGTTAGGAAACTTTGAGGCTGCTTGAAACCCTTGGTACACCTTGTTACAAAGCCCAATGATTGAAGTGCCCTGCTCTTAACGTACGCATAGTGTTCACGAAACGTTAATTTAGAGTCGAACAACACACCGAGGTCCTTAGCTACTGTTTTTCTATCCAATGACTGTTCGTTAAGTCGATATTCGTAAGTATGTTTATAACGTTTATTAGTAAGAGTTATAACAAAGCACTTCTTAGCATTGAGGAGCATAAAATTTTGTTGGCACCATTCCGAAACTGTGTTAATATCACTCTGCAATTTACAGCAGTCGGACGGTTCACTTATGACGCGATATATTTTTAAGTCGTCAGCATAAAGTAGACAAGGGCTGGACAGTTCACCAATGAGATCATTTATATAAATTATGAAGAACAACGGGCCGAGATGTGAACCTTGAGGCACACCTGACTTTATTATAACTGGTGATGACTTAAAACCTTTGAGAGCAACAAGTTGGCTTCTATTGTTCAAGTAAGAATGGACCCAGCGTAAAAGACTACCATGAATACCGAACACAGCTAACTTTTTACAGAGTAATGAGTGATTCACTTTGTCGAACGCTTTTGAAAAGTCCGTGTACACGGCGTCGACTTGCCCACCAACCGCAAAGACCTCACATAAGTAATCCTTATACTCTAACAGATTAGTTACAGTAGATCGCCCCCCCACGAATCCGTGTTGTTTATTAGAAATAAATGGCTTTACTTGAGAGTAAAAATAATCATACAATGCTGATTCGAACACCTTGGCAACACAACATAGAATACTAATAGGTCTATAATTTTCACAACTGGACTTACTTCCGGACTTGTGAAGAGGCACGATATGAGCGGTTTTCCAGACAGAAGGGAAAACGCCTGACTTAAGTGACCTGTTAAATAACAATGTTAGTGGCTCACACAGTTCCTCTGCACACTTCAAGAAAAAGATAGCAGGAATACCATCGTATCCCGGACCCTTATGAATGTTAAGTTTCTTTAATATTTTCAATATTTTCTCCTGGCTTAGTTCAATATTACCCATACTGTTGTTACAAAAGGTACCATGCTCTTGATAATAAATATCGTTAATGATCACATCTTGGTTGTATACAGGCTGAGAAAGTTCAAAAGCTAAACCAAAGTACTTAGAAAAAAGTTCACATATTCCAAATATATCAGAGGAAGATTCTGTACCTAGGGTCATTGTCTGTGGCATCCCTGAACTGCTTTTTTTATTATTTACAAAGTTCCAAAAGACTTTAATGTTGTCAGATAAACCCTCCTCGATGGATGATATAAACGACGCATATGCCATATCGATGAGTTTCTTACATCTCGTACGCAGTAACGCGAAAATATCGTAATCCTTAGGATTTTGATACTTCTTATAGCGACTGTGGTACTTGTTTTTTTCTTTGAGACACTTTATTAAAGTTCGTGTATACCAAGATGGATATTTGTTATTCGATTTACTTATAAGCGGCATATGTTTGTCAATCAAATCACACACCGAAGTATAAAAGACATCGACAGCAACATTTATATCCGGTTCATCCATTAAACTGGACCAATCGACATTTGCCAGATCTTTCTTTATGTCCTGATAATTACATTTGCGATAATTATATCTCAACCGTTGCGAACTTTTAACTGTTTTTAATTTATTATTTTCCATTAACACAATTTTCAATGGAGGATGCTGAGAATCTATACGACTAATAGGCTCTGTAGATGTCACAAGCACTTTCACTGTTGTAGACAACACGAGATCAAGGAGACGGTTATTCAAATTACGGACAGAATTAAGTTGGACCAGATTACAAAGATCCATCATGTCAATAAGACAATTAGATTTGAAGTCGGAAGAAATACCTGATGTCATAACATTATCATGAGTACTAGCAGACCAATTTATGTGCGGAGTGTTAAAATCACCAATCAGTAAGAATACATCATCACCGTCACAACGAGACATGACTCCCACAACATTATCATAAAAAACTTGCAAGTTATCGCGAGAAATATCGGGTGGCAAATAACATAAACATAAGTGGAGTTTAGAACACGAATTGTTAGATGAAAATATAGTTATCCATAAGTCTTCAATTTTACTCTCCCAACTAGTTTGTCTAACTATATTAAATGTGCTCCTAACCGCGATTAAAACACCTCCACCATCACGCTTAGGAATACAAGACGTATGACGGTCTCTCCTAAATACAACAAATTGAGAATCAAATATTTCTGAATCGAAAACGCTATCATTTAAGTTTGTTTCTGTAAAACATATTATATCAAAATTACAACTAAGAGTATTTAAATAAACATCAGTAACCTTTGTCCTTATCCTATTCACATTTTGGTAGTAGATTTCCATAAATAAAGAATTACAATAGATCAACTAAAAGTACAAAAGTTATGATAAACAAAAGATAAGATAAAGAGAGCAATTATTATTTTAAAGTGTTCAGAGTACTTGCATTTTTCACATGTATGGCATTAGAATCATCATTTTTTCTCATATAAACACGTCCGTATTTTATCCATATATATTTATAAGACAAGTTTTTGCCTGCCAACCTTGCTGCGGCATGTAACTGTTTAGTTTCCGGTGAAAGATGTTCAGATACGTAAACAGGACGCTCCTCACCGTGGATGCCCAAATGTGCAGAATTCAATTGACTAGCTTTATTGTCCTTGTTGTAACGTTTGTAAGCAGATATTACGTTGTCACGGTCTCGCTCCGACGGTAAAGTAACGAGTATTCCACGAGGCCTATCAGAGTTTTTATCAATTTTTGCAACTCGCCTTATAGCTTTAATGTAAGCCTCACTGGAGGATATTTTAATTTCAGTCAATAGGTTCCGGACTATAGTCATCAAGTTTTCATTTTTCTTTTCGGGTACGCATTGTAGTTCAAAATTGCATCCCCTAGAAACTCTTTCTAATGTGGAGATGCGACTGTCCAACTTGTTTATCTGTAATTCTAGTGCGGTCTTTTCCGTTTCCATTTTAGAAATCCTTTTTGTGGCAATATCTAATTCCATTCGCATATCAGACTGCATGGCAGCTAAGTGATCAGTCGTCTCGGAGAACTCCGACTTCAACTTGCTTATGGCACAATTAATGTCTTCCTTAATTGCAGATCTCATATCCGAGAGTTTTGAGTCAAGAAGAGCGCCAAACTGATCGTATGTTATTGCCGCCGACGGCGTCACATCGCAAGGGGAACGACGGTGACAATTGTTAATATTGGTAGCGTTCCTTCGATCCGGATCCGAATTTTTTCTGAGTGCTTTTTCTGAGTGTTCGATCTTTGTATTAAT